ACCATCCTTCTTTTCCACAACAAAAAAACTGGCACATGTAGGTGAAGTGGATGGACGTATAAGTCCAGCCTTCAGAGAATCTTGTATGTAAACTTTCAGGGCCTCAGATTCAGAATTGGAGAGCGGAAAAATACGACCTTTAGGAGTGATAGTACCTGGCAAAAGGTCAATGGTACAATCATATGGTCGATGAGGTGGGAGGGCCAAGGCCTCCTGCTCATTAAATGCTTCCTGTAGATCAGAATATTGAGGGGGTATGGTAGGAACACCAGAAGGGGACGTCGCCGTGAGTGCAATTCTTACGGGCAGATGACAGCAATTTCTAATACATGTGGGTCCCCAAGCTAAAATTTCTTTACGGGACCAAAAAATGTTAGGGTCATGCTGTTGTAGCCAAGGAAAGCCTAGTACAAGGGGATCTGTTGGGGTCTCAAGGAGATAAAACCAGATGTCTTCCACATGGGTGGCAGCCAATCTGCAAGCTAACAATTTCAGTTTGCCACCTAATAAGTCCTGGAGATACTGGGGGAACCATCAATAGATTGAACACGAAGAGGTGGAGTCACCAGGGTCAAGGGTAAGTTCCAAGTTCGAGCGATGGAGGTGTCTATAAAGTTTCCTGCTGCCCCTGAGTCAATAAAAGCAAGAAGAGGTTTCCTTTTATTACCCCAGAACAGTGTAGATAGAATAGAAAATCCTGAGGAAAACTGAGGGGATTGAGTTATCTCACTCACCTTAGGATCTTGAGAAGGTGGGCGGCGCCTCAAGGATGAGTATGAAGCAGGGAAGTCAGCTTTAAAGTGTCCTAATTTCCCACAGTACATACAGCGACCCTCTCGTTGGCGTCTCTCTCGTTCTTCAGGGGTTAACCGGGTGCGGACTATTTCCATAGGTTGTTCTGAGTCTAAATTTCTGGGGGGTGATGGCCGAGGAGCCTCTAGTATTGGTGTCCGAGATCTTTCAGTACTCCTTTGACGAATTCTGAGTTCTAATTCCAACACCTGGGCAATTACTTCCTCCAACGTTCTGCCCAATTGCGGCATATTTACCAGGTGGTCCTTTATTTCTTCACTAATTCCTTGACGGAAAAGAAAAATAAGGACCTCATCATTCCAGTGAGTCTCCGCTGCTGCTGCTCGAAAATCTATAGAATAATCTTGTGCAGACCGGTGGATGGAGGAGAGGCGGAAGGCAGAGTCTTGACCAACTAAGGAACGACAAAAAACCCCCTTAAATTTTCCTAAAAAGAGATCATAATCCTGAACTTCAGGAGCCCCGCGATCTAGCAGGGCAGTAGCCCATTCCAAAGCGCGGCCGGTTAACAGTGAAACTATGAAGGCGATCTTGTCCTGAGGAGAAAAAAAAGTTTCCAGATGGAGCCTGAAAACAAGCGCACACTGTGCTAAGAAGCCCCGACATTTCGTAGGGTTGCCGTCAAACCTGTCAGGTGGAGTTAGTGGAAGAGGTCGAGGGGCAGGTGTTGGAGCAGGCGGGGGCGGTGCCGAAGCGACAGTTCCAGCATTGCTTCCGCGATTGCCGGTGGGTGGCATTGCAAACAGGTGCGCGGAAATCTGTTGGACGGAAGCCTGTAGCTGGAGTAAGGCTTGCCAGTGCTGATCCAAAACCGAGCGAATCTCCTCTTGCTCCGCTAGGTCCATGTTAAGGGGCTCAGTATTCTGTTACGGATTCGGTAAGAGAAACCGAAACCAGTGAATGAACTCACTTGCAGGAGCTGACAAAGCCTAGCCGTGATCCAAAGAAAGCCGTAGTCGAAGGAACGAGCCAAGAGTCCAGGGGAAGCCAGAGATCCAAAAGGGAACGAGTTACCGAAGCCAAAGCGTGATCCGAAACCATAGACAATAGAGCAAGCCGATAGTCCAGGGGAAGCCAGAGATCCAAAACAGAGCGTGAGTAACGAAGCCAAGCCCTGATCCGAAAAACCGTCCTCAAAAGGGGAAAAAAACGTAAACCGAAAACCAAGAAGGACACAAGGTAGAAGTAGGAGTAGCGCAACCAGGAAGCTCGAAAGGAAAACCAATACTGAGCAAGGAGGTAGAGAAAGACAGGTGTTTCAGTAGGATGAGACGGGGGTGTGGTGGTGAATAGGAAAACTGATAGGTAAACTGATGGAGTAAGGCTACGCCTACTTCTGCCTCTTCCGTTGCCGGGAGGCAGGGATCGTAACATAAATACTCTTCAGCTAATAAGTAATCTATGCATACACTTGTCCAGTGCCCCTCTAGGTAAAGTGCTAACCGTAATTATTTTACATATCCCATCTGTTCCAAAATAATCCCATTTCTTTAGCTACCTAGTGTGAATCTCTCTTCTCTTCACCAAACATTTAGCTATGTGTTAAATCTCCATATTTCCTCTTGATTCCCTAGTCTTGCATGTGGCACAGGCAGTATTCCTGAGAAGACCATGTAGCCTTTGTATTCATAAGTTTACAAACTGAATTCTTAAATTTTTCCTACAGAATCATCTGTCTGCCTTTCTCTTTGCCATTTATTCCAACATGGATCATGACAACTGGATCCAGCCCAGCTGTGGCCAGGAATGTGTCCACTTGCTCAAGGAGGTCTGCAACCTGGGCATGAGGCAGCCAACACATGATATGAATGAAATACTGCTTGTGCATAGATCTATTGCTCTAATAATTAAATAATCAAATAAAGTCCCATACAATCATCATGTAAATCAATACACATTCATATCCCCATGGGTGGGCTCTAGGCTGCATAGGTCCTGTCAGTCCTCCCTTCTACCAGTGACCAGGTCTCCAGTAAGGCCTGGAAGTTATCAAACTTGACAAGCTCAGGAATGCACTCTGGAATCCTTTCCTGCAGCTGCAGTCTACAGTTATCCAGCTATCTCCTGTTTTCTGCCCCACCCAGCTTATCTCTCCCATGTTTAACTGCTGTAGTGTGCACACAATCTCCCTTAAGGGCTTGTCAACTTGTCACTTGTCCACTTTCCATCCTGGGTATGAGTCAGCCACATTTACATAGCAGTGGAGCTCAACATGCTCAGTCCGAAGCCCAAGTCATGAGATCTTAGAGCACTAGGTGCTCAACCAGTTGACAACATTCACAGATGAATTTCCCTTACACATCTCTGATCAGTTTGCACAGGCCTCACAATGCTTTTGCTTACTGTTTTTTAAAATACTATTAAATGATTAAATTAATAACATTATTAACCCTGCCTTTTTTTTAATACAGAGATGGTATTAAAAAAAACAGAGATGGAGACTTCATTAGATATCTGGAAATAAATATAAAAGGAGAAAGGAGAAAAATACATTTCTTTAATCTATTTTTGTTGAATTGATAGCCTAATTATATTTCTTGCTTATCATCATAAGCCAAACAGTAGTAATAGTAGTACATTTATATTTTCATAACTGTAGAGTAAATTTAAAGTAGTTGATGTAGCATGAAAGTCTCTATTTAAAAACAAAGGTAATTTTTACTATTATTCTGAAACAAAAAGAACTATGCTGTGTACACGTACATGTAAAATAAAAGCAAAAATCATACAAAATACTGCAAATAAAAATGTGGCTTCTTCTAATTGCCTACAGTAGCTGTTTCATGCAGATTAAAAAAAATGCTTGCTTTAGAGGAGACAAAAAAAGAGAAATTAACCTACACTAGAAAAACCTGGGTAAAACATTCTTCTTGGCAACCGGACACAAGTTCAAGGAGAAAAGCTGATTGACCATTTTTACCTTAAATTCAAGAAAATAAAAAAAAAACTGAACTGAATAACATTAATCAACAAACACACAATCTTGCTGCAGTCACTTAATGAGTGATACATTCTCAGTTATTAAAACACAAGTCTCCCGGCAAACTGATTTGGCAATCCTGCCATCTGCTGTTTTGTAATTCCAGAAAATTCAAGATTTGTATTGTTTTTAATAGAATGACTCAGTATCCTTCTCCTATAGTTATATCACGGTCAATTGAACTGTGAAGAGTAAGAATTCAACTTCTAGGTGTTGTGTCTCTTTGATTAGTTACTAAAACAGAGATAACAAAAGCAGAGAAAAAGTTAATCAGCGTTTAGCTGAAATAATCAAATGCTGATCTTAAAATATTCTAAACCGTTATTCCCAATCTCTACATATTATCCAGTTTCTGCACTGAAAAGCAACTTATGCAAAGCTGTTCCCTTAATGAAGAATGTGTTCAAACTCACATTAGCCAAAATGCATTGTGAATTCATTTTTCATCAAAGTGTTGTAGTATCCATAATTAACAGATTTGACAGGATGTGACAAAACTTTGAATAGTCATTGACTCTGACCTTTGAATGTTCTCTACAAAATGATGTTCTATGGAGTAACATTTTACATAAAATTATACATTGCCAAATATTAGAAAAACTGGAACCCTTGACTGTCATTCAAATGTCAGATGGCTGAGACATGGAAAAGGTTCCAGTAACAATACCTATAGGGTAACTGCATGCTTTATTTTTTATTCCAAAAAATATAGATTTTATACTTTTGCAAAATATAGTGTTCTGAGTTGCAATTTCGAAAGATTTACAAAATATACAAATGTGCCTTTCTCAAGGACTATAATCAAGCACATCACATAATGTCAGATGGCAGCAGAATCCTTGTGTCAATGAACACAATGTGTGTACTTTCTCACATTGCAGGTCTGAATATGAGTGCAGAGCTTTCCACTGGCATGTCAGTTGTGAAGCTCTTGATTATTGTATTTCAAACAGATGAATCTGAATATTGATGAATTTTGCATAAATCTGACTTGTGAAGGTGTGGAAATAGATCCACATGCCAAAATAAACTAAACATCAAAAGAAAATGAACAAGTACTAAGTTGATTACATGCTAAAAAGAGAAGAAAGCAAACCCAACGTTTTGGCTATGGAGCCTTCTTCGGGTGTGAGAAAGACAGGGCAGACAGCAAAGATATATCACTCTATTAATGTATGTATGTATATTTAAAAAATAAACTGTGCATTTGGATATTGAATAAATATTTCAGGTGTTACTCTAATTCATTGACTATTCATGACTGCCCATTTGACAGATTTTGACCATTGCATGAAATAACCTCAGTGGTGAGAAAGGTTAGGATGTGATTTAACCTTAGAGTAACACACAAAGGAATCAAATATGCCTGAGGTATCAATAGAACAATGCCTTTGTTCCATTAGTACTGTATGTTGCACGCAAAAAATATGCTGTTGTGCACAAATCAGTTGCAATGTTCAAGTTTGATGGACTTGCCAGGAGTGTAACTGCTACAGTACTACATCTGTAGTGACTGATGGCAACCTGACTGTTCAGTGCTATATGTTGAACTGAATATGTCCTTGGACCTCACTTGCTGCCCTTTCTGAGATCATCTGAATGTAACGTTAGCATAACAGCTCACATCCTCATATTGCTTGTGTGTCAGTAGCTTTCTTGACAGGTGAGAATGGGTAATTATGCCATGGATACTCTGCTTGCCAGACCTGAGCTCCACTGTGGGTTGAGCTGGGCTAAGGCAGCCACATACAGTACCTGTGACAGGACACATACCCGCTACTAACCTGTAACATTCAAAGTAAACCCCATGCTCATCTCTTTTGCTGACACGTTAACCCTTTTGATGACACGTTAGCTATGTCATGCCTGCTAAGTAAGATTTCAATTCACCTACTGCAAAAACAGATAATATACTTTCCTGATAATGACCCTGTGAATAGGCTGTAGGTATAAAGTGATATATTTCTTTTGGTACTCTGTATATTAATATTTTAACTTTTTTCCATTGAGTACCTAGAGTATTTGACCTTTAAGCATATCAAGACATTACTGTTTTGATCAAAACTTAATAATCAAATTGCCATTTTCACAAATGCATAAGTACACTATGTGTGGAATACTAATGAGTATTCTGCTCAGCCTGCAACTGGAAAAAAGCACTGACAGTCAATAAATCATCCAGAATATACCACTTATTGCTAATTAATGAACTAAAATTTAATGAGAATTGAATTTCAGTTTATATTTTATGCCATAATGGAACAAAGTCTGATGAAATGTTCAGCAATGCTGAATTTCTGCAGCTTTGAAAACATATTTCAACAAGCTTTTTTTTTTCTTGGCAAACATGCAGCGAAACAGAATTAAAAAAAATAATTAAAGCTGAGAAGAATTAAATTATGGGGCGACTAGCCTTAGCTAATTAATTATGTCCCAATCTCAACTGGAATACAAAATTGCAAGGAGATTAAATAATACTGAATACAGGGCAAATGTTATGTGAAAGAAAATGTTTTAAAGTTATTAGCACAATGGTTTAGCATTATCTTTAAATACCTACTTACAAACCTGATATGAAAGTAATAACCAGGAGGGACAAAACCAGATGTTTAAGAAACATGCCACAAATCTGTAACTTTAGTATTTGATAAATCTCAGCAAAAGCAAACAAAGTCAATGTCTTTTCTGATTCTACTGCATCATGTAAGTTTTCTGAAGAATGGAAAGACCCCTTTCAATAAGCACCTGAGAGAACCAGGGATGAACCCACAGCAAAGCAGCTCCTAAGGCGGCAGTGGAGAGGAGCAGATAGGCAGAGAAACTGGAAGAACCAGTTGCTATTTTCCAATCCCTGTGTGGGACAGGGAATGCCAGGGATTTCCTAGCCCATTCCTTCTCCTCCTGTGACAGACATTCTGGGGACAACTGTCCCAAGACTTCCAAAGCCACACGCTGTCCAGACTGAACAGCACCACTGAGATATCCACACCACAGTGTGGCAGTCTCTGTGCCTGCCCAATGAATCCTGCAAGGAGACAAAAAATAAATTGGTCACCCTCTTACCAACCTAGTAAAGGGCACATTGTAAAACACTGCACTTTTGTACTCTCTTCCCATTCTTAAGTAAAAGTGAAAGCTTTAATTCCAATTGTTTATATATTAACTGGTGATGAAGAAAATAGTAGCTGTGGATGAAATTATGGGAGAAACAGTAAAATAACTAATTAGAATGGAGAGATTTATAGATAGCATAACTTAAATAGATAAAGGTATGTTTTGATCTTTAGACTAGAAAATCAGCTTAAAGACTCATAAGCCATCTGGTCCCATTTTCAAATGGACACAGTGCACACATTTCCCATGTAATTAATTTTCTGGGAAGTAAACACTTTGTTCAGTTTCACTTAAAGAAAACAATAAGACTACTCTGTGTTGACTACGCAGTCTTGACTACACTTTAATGAAAATTTTCAGTTTCATTAAGTTAACATGGAAGAAAATTAATGATTTTGAATCAAAGATAAAAAACTCTTAAATAGCACTTTCTTAAATATAGCTGCATTAAGAATGAAACTACCTAACTAGCAAAAAAGATGAAACTGAAATATTTAAGGGCAAAAGCAGGAAAATGTTCAATATGTTACACAAACAACTAGTTATGCTAATATATGGGATGACATTTGCTAAAGCTCATAATGTGGTTAGGGGATTTAGCAAACAGGTGTTTCATTTTATCAAAAAGTCATGTTGTGAAGGTCTTTTCCAACTTTGCTTTATTGACATTACTTTCTTCTCCTTCCCTTCAATGAGCACAATCTGTTCTTGGAAACATCAGCTTAAATCATTGACTCGTATAATAAAGGTCTTATACAGATACATTAAATCCCAACAATCTTTATGTCAAAATACATGTGCTCCACTCTGATGATGGATATACAGTAATTTCAAGGAAAAACACATATGAGGCAATCAGGTTCACCCAGTAAATGTTTACCTTCCACAAGGTCTTCTGAGGCTAGGATGGAAATAAGTGATCATTCCAGGGACCATGATATTGACAGGACAGCCACCACTGTATTGCTCCTTGGCCCAGTCCTGAAAAAGACATGAAGGGGCTAGATTCAGCAGAATGAGTGCCTTCTTTTAAACCTGAGAAATGTAAGCTTATGCAGTTGAACAAAGGATCGGTTTGATTGAATAAAGTACAGAAACCATGAAGAAAAAAAATTAGAAGACCCTCAGAGACCCTTAAGAAAAAACAACTCTGCCAACAAAAAGAGTTAAAGTACAAAAATGGAGGAGTGGGGAGAAATCTCCTCTGGACACCATAAAAAGCAAGTCTGTCTCCATTTTATAACATGGACTTGTTATTTTTTAATTTTAATAATGTATAGACTTACTACATTACACTTCTCTGTTACAGTATGCTAGAATTACAGTTCTAACAGACAATTTTTTTCATTATACTGTACAGCATTTTCTTGCCTAGTACCTCTTCAGGGCGGTTAATGCCATTAGTGTACGAATGAAAGCCTCTCTTATGTCCTTAACATAACACTGTTATGTTAAGGACATAAAAACTAGTGTTATAAGCAACACCTTGCAACAAACAACAAAAACATCTTGCGTGTTTGGTTTACAGTACTTGTGTAAAAAACAAGTTTCAAGGATATATAAAAAAACTTCCCACATCTCTACCCAAAGTGATGAATGTGAGGGAATTAAGGATTAGTTAGGGATTTATAAAAGGGCAAGAAGTTAGGTCAGTGCCATGAGCTGGGATTTACTTTTTTCTGAAAATCCATTTCTGAACTCCATTAAAATGTCTATGAACAAGGAACATTTCGAGAATAAAATGAAAGTTTAACATTTAAGGAATTTGATTCAATACACTTAAGAATTGTGGATGGCTGCCAAGAAGGGGAATAAAAGTAATTGCCCTGAACTCTGAAATGTTATTACAAAAACAGCTCGGTTATGTGGAGTGTGTGTGTGTTTTCTATATGCCACAGCTGTGCTGTCCTTCGTGTCTTTGTGTTGTGTGTCTACGAATCCCCTGAAGTGAAACAGATGAGACCCACTATGTTTCCTGTCTGTTTATATTTAGGGATTGCATGTTTTTGCCAAGCTTCCCTTCCAGGTAAAATGTACTACTGAATAGCTAGTACAAAAAAAAATCGTATATAATAACTACGCACTTGAAAAGAGCTGCTATCTTTCACAGTTAAAAGCTAATGTTAAGACTGTCAATCCCTTTTTTTTACTGTATGTTCCTCTCCGTGGTCCATTCTACACCAGAAATTAAACCACAGCATCTGAAAGCTGAAAATAAATATATGTTTTACTACAGGAAATTCATGTGTGAATGAATATCACATTATTCATATTCACATACCTATAGTATAGGATAGGATTGACCTATCCTATACTATACATAGGATTGACCATTCTAAAAGAAAAAATCTCCTGTTGTACTTAGGTCATATGATTAGGATTTTTTATTGTGTATGTTATATGTGTATATATTAATACTTAAATGTTTTAACATGAAATTAAAATATTAGCATTTTTCTTGTCTCTTGAAGGGTAATCTTCATTTTCTCTCACAATGATGAAATGTGCAAACCAGAGGAGCCCATTTGTTCCATCTTCATTGTTTGGTTGCTAGGGAATAATAGGGGATCCAAAAATATCATTCAGTCATTTGTTAAAAAGCTTCTATGACGTCATCTTCAACAGCGACTGGAAAAACGTCTGCCAGATACTATTGTTTGTGTAAAAATGTGCTTCCTTATTTCAATCCCTACACACATTTCCCTGAATGCTACATTTTGATCACTGTAACTGAAGCAACAAGCAACATGAAGAAAGATGGCTTCATCTGAAATAATCGCAACTTTTTAAAAACATCTCAACATTCTGCTTCCTTTCATTATCGACCCCACACTTTATCTGAATCACTTATTTACTGTACTATACAGTTTATAATGGCCTGATCATCTTATATGACAGCAAGATTACTACCTTGTGGCCTGATTTCTCAGATCTCAGAAGATAAGCAAGGCGGTGCTTGGATGGCACCTTTATGGAAAACCATGTGCTGGACCAGTTAAAAGCACCAATCACTCTGGACCAGAACTTCCAAATCCAATGCCCTGACATGTTAACAGGGTGCACGATGCTGTCCTGTAGATGAGACAAACCGAACCCAGGTCCGTAAAGATCCCATGGCACTTACGTCAAGCTGGCTAAATTCCATATTCAGCTTGTACCATCTGGGCTACCTAAGATTCTCTCTTACTTCAGTTGGTGAAGAAACATTCACCTTTCTAACTTGATCTGCTGTGCAGTGGGGCTCCTGGAGCATATTGGCTACCATATCACCTAGGTGGGTGGCACAAAATAGTGGAGAATGAAGAGGGTCCTCTCCTATACTTAATACCCTTTGGCATGACAAGTGCTATACAACTATAATTCTTTTATCTGAGGAATAGTTAGTTATGTAAAACTCTGCTGTAGATAGTTCTGATGCATGGAAAATCTGGAAATGCAGTTTAGAATTAACATTTCTTCTGTCCCTAACACTGGACTTTCCAATTTTTCTGTCTTTCCAGTTGATTTGCCAGTTTCTTATGGTTTCCATTGTGCTCCTGCTTGACCACACTTCCTTTTAATTTTGTTGTTATGCTGAATATGCTTGATGAGACATTTAAAAGATGCAGCTTCTGAGTTACTTTTAATAATGTTAGAGGGTGTCAAAAATTCCAATTGCTTAAGAATTTTAAATTTCATTTTTATAAGACATTATTAGTAGAAGTATTTAAATTTGAGAAAATTATAAAGACTGGGGAGCTAAGAACCAGGTTTTTGATGGCCTATTGTAGCAGTAAGACATTCACCTTCTTACCTTTTCAGCATAGTGGATATAATTTGAAGCCTCTGGACCCAAGAATTTTGTCAGAGTTTGGATCACCGCATCCCGTCTGTCCTCCAACTGCAAAAGCAAAGCTTGGTCAGGGTTTAACCTAATAATGTACACCTTTAAAAACCAACAGCTAAATCCTGAAATATGAATACACTGTTGAATTATTAATGATGCCCAGCTGTCTTATCAAATTTAATTTCAGCCATGTGTGTCATGTAGCACTATTGTATGGAGTGAGTTATGAATTATAATGTGTAAATGTATCGGACTATAGTTCACAGTACAAAGCATAGCATTCATTTTGTTGTACTGATGAATTACAGTTCTGTGTAGAAATGAGAGCAGAGTATATCTGATTCCCTTGGAATCCTCAGTTCTTGTAGCTTTTTCTGCTGTATTGAAATCATAAAAAGTTAAATGCTTGCGGACAAAAATCTCCATTTTGATCAGTTTAGGAAAAAAAAAACAGAATGCTTTCACAAAGATTTGAACTATTTTTCTCTAAAGCAAAGCACTATCTGATCTTTTTCTCAAGATTTATGCACCAGTGATATAAATACTAGCCTTTTTTATGGCCATCTGCAAGAAGCCCAGTATGCTGTACAGGGCCAAACAACCAGACTCAAATGTGTTTCTGTCTGCACTGTTTTTGTCTTGAACTTTCTAAGCAGTATTATTAGTCCTATATGAAGGACACTTATTGAATTAAAGCACTTCAAGGCAAATAAAAACTCTTATAAATAACTAAGTGGAAACCCCTTTAAGGTCTGCAATTTGGGGTTAGAAATAAAAGCCTTATTGCAAAATTCTAAATAATAATAAAAAAGCTTGTTATCACAGAATAAGGAGTTACTAAATCAATCTGAAATTATAAAGATTAATGATAGTTTCGCCCCCTTCTCTAGCATAGCTTCATAATAGAGGTATGATCAAGAGATAAGCTTAAATGGGACAAATATTTGTTTACTATTTTGTTTACAAATATTTACAATTTTAGGAGTTTCAAAGTAATTCAGTTTTCTCTAGGCATAGAACATAATTCTGCTAGTATTTGGCAAAACACAAAACACCTTAACAGGCCAAGAGGGTACCTATGTCCTATTCAATTAAAAGGATCCTGTCCAGAACTTAAATTTTCCTTTCTAATGTATCCACACATTTGAATGGGAACCATATTCTCCATATTCTAACAATCCATCACTAACCAAGGAGATATGATTTTAGTCTAAAGATTCCATAACATTGGGTATCAGAATTGTCTTGAATAAATAAGAAAGCAAACTTCTTTGAAGGAAGAATACACAGTAGAGCTCTGTTCTGTAGTGTTTAGATTACCTGGACAGAATCTATTTTGTTGTCTGTTGAAAAAGGAAAACTCACACAGTGTGTCGTCTAATGATGATGATGTCTTTCCTTGCTGTTTGATGGAAGCTGCTGTTGGATCCCCCAGCCTCCTTTCTGCTTATTTTACTGCTGTATTTATCCTGCCCTGATGCCACAATCTATCCCAATGAGGGCTAGCCTAATGACCTCACTGCAATTATTGTACAGTAGATGACTGACGTAATAATCTAACAGTGAATTAGTTTAAGTTGAGTTAAAAATTAGTACCACCCTTTTGATCATGTGTATCGTTCAACATTTTTAACTGCCTTCAAGGTTTAAGCACACCTGTATAAATAAAGCAAGGCAAAACTCAATGTACTGCAGACTCAGGATAGGTTAAATTTGCTGTGAAGTAAAACAAAATAGCCTAGTTTAACCTAGTTAAAGTGCCAGCCACATCAATTTTATTTTAAATCTAAATAACTCATCCATCCATTCATTTTCTAAAACGCTTTATTCAGAAAAGGTTTTTGGAGCTCACCATAGCAAGCTATGGGTGTAAGGCAGGATATAATCTGGATGGGATGCCAGTCCATTGCAGGTCACACACAGACATAAACACCCACACTCACACTGGGGGCAATCTTGCAGAAGCCAGTTAACCTATCAGTATGTTTTTGGACTGTAGGAAGAAACCAGAACACCTGGAGGAAATCCACACAAACACAGGGAGAACATATAAACTTCATGCAGATAGTACCACAGGAATTAAACCCAGGGCCCCAGTGCTGCAAGACAGCAATGCTAACCACTGCACCACCAAGCCACCAACTCAAAATATCTTTTTTTTAATGTATTTAAATAATCATAGTAAAAATCATCCACTAGTGGTATGTTACATACATTATCCTGTTGCTTGTGAAACTTGGAATCTTATTTCCATCCCCAAGTGAGATACTGTATGTGGTAGCAAAAGTTCAGTGTGCACTAAGTGGGCAGGTTCCTCACCTCTCTGTGACACCAGTCTGCAGCCTGTGCACCAGCAATAAACCCCACCAGTGCAGGATTCCCAGAAGTGCTAGTAGCATCGTAGGTTACACTGAAAGGACACTCTGAAGAAGGCTGGGTCACAATCTCACCAGAGAAGCCATTTTCTCGCCAGAATGTCTGTAGCAGAGTGGATATTTCACTTTAATTACATTTCTTCAGTTCAGTATGAAGAAGGTTCTCAAGCTGAAAAAACTGTGTATTTTAATCTTTCTTTTTCCTCTACTGAACATTGATTTAAACTGACCTATGGTTGTATAGCCCTTCAGGCACATTTTGTTTGCAGTGTGATGAATGCAGCCCACATTCACAAGCCTTTAACTTAGTATTTTTCTAACTTAACCATAGTGATTACAGTTTTCTGAAAAATACACAGCAGTGTTCTTTCAATCCCATCCTAGGGTTGGTCACAACTCATTACCTGCTTTATTCCTGAGAAAATACATAAATTGCTTCAGTTCAGTGAATATTTAATTAACAAAGAGCTTAGTTGTGATGAATTAGTTGTGATGCAGGCTTCCTGTTCCTCAAAGAAAACTCATTTACAATATGTATCATATTTTTATGGAAAAGAACAAGTACAGGTTAAATCCACACTGAAAAACGTAGAAACACAACATTTTGGCACCATAGCCTTCTTCAGATGTGATTTTAAAATATTTGTTTAACAGTATGTTTACATATTTTACATTATGTAAATGTGGCCTATGATAAAACAGGCAAATCTAATAGTTTTTTGGTCAGCTTGAACTGAATAGGAACATAATATCACGCACATTTACTGTACTGCATTCATATCCTGCAAGAAAAGTCCTTTATTGATTGGATCACAAGGTCAATCATGTGGACTACAAGAGGAGTAATCAAAGTGGAAATCTTATCTGTTGTTTTAGCACTGCAATTATCCAGGTTTTTTACTGAACATTTTAACAGCTGTCTGACAGCTAACATTTTCTAAGAAACTAAAATGGCACTGACAACTGGCATGAAGCTTATGTGAATCACGGACTTTTATATCCACGTTAGACTTTGTTACTGGCAGATGTCTGGTAAATAATCAGTTTAATTAGATATGTAAGTGATGGCTGTGTATCTCACAGTGAAGAGATTTGAGAGGACAAAGACATGTGGCTATTGGCACCAAAGTAAACAGATGGTTGCTGAAGCATCTAAAAGGGCTCCTGTGGAACATACTCACTGTGGGGTAGGTGACGATGAATTTCATCATGTGTCCCATGGGCATGTTTTGAGTCAGGCTCTCCCTCTCCACAGGCAGTGGAGGCTGGTAGTGGATCTTGGCTGGAAATCACGACAGACACAGTGAGATTCATGGACCAGTCAAACTGTAACTCAAAGAGACTCACTGATGTACCAAGAATTTAACTCGTAACTTGCTGACATGTGTCCACTATGGCTGCTTGACGTCATCAGGTATGATACCATGTGGTCACAGCAAAGAAACCCTGGCATTCCAGTTTCCCTGTTTGTTTTACATTAAATGTTTTCAACATAATTGAATATTGTTCTACCATACACTCTCTTCACTACAGTAGAGCTCTCATAATTCTATAGATTTAATTGGAAACTCAATTTAACATAAACAGTAACTGTACATTTTATAAAAAAACCTCTTTAATTATGATTATTGTGATTAATTATGATTATGATAATTTACTGTATACTGTATATGTAATACTCTACAATCTCACATGCACCTGATAAGGCACACAAGTTGCTGATACTCAGCATGCCAAGAACACCAAATCAAACAAATCCCAAACCCAAAATTGCTCAACAAACTGTGCACCACCACAAACCCAATTACACTTCAGTACACAGTTCATAACCCTAACCACTTCTCTCTGGTGCACCCTACCTATTTTAGTACCACATGTATGCTTCCTTCTAAGAAACTGAGACCTTTGGCTCATTCCTCTTCACCTTGTCCAAGAAAATCAATGGGTTTTAATTTAAAAGGAAAAGTATATGTGATTCTATGCCTCTGTGAGTTTGACACACAATGAGTCATGTTCCCTAGTTGAAGGTCTATACACTTACTGACAGACTAAAGCTTCACACGGCCTCTGATTATATTTTTTTACCGACTCTGGCAGTCCACATTCAGTCAACGTTATGAGTTTTCCACAAACTGGAATCATTAGAAAATCTAATTCCCCATACCACTAGAGATAAATGGTGTTATCAGTAGAAAAGATGGTTGGCAAATCTAATTCAATTCCCTTCTTTAATCAGGTAGCATCACCAAAAAGATGTGCTAATTTAAGAATACTCTGACCAACAAGTTTCACAGACAAGGCTGGCAGGTAATACAAAGTAATAATGGAGTACACACCAGAAACTAGAATGTGCAGTGATCGCCTAAACCTGTCACCAAAGAAATCTCTCTTGTCCATCTCTTAATATCTGCATCATGTTAATATGGAAAATCTTTATGTGAAACCATGTAAGAGAGCTTCAGTTTTTTCAATATAGATGTCTATAGTAGTACTTTTGAACATCTGGAATACAGAATGTACACAGCCAACGAGTTGTGAAAGTACTTCTGGGGAAGGTCAAAATATCCAGTGTACAAAAGTTCAGAATAATTTTATAGAGGTCAAACTTACAAAAATTAATTAATTAAAATTAATTCAGTAGTTTGGTTAGATCCTAATAAATGCAATAGAGAGATGAGATATACAGAGTATATTTGGCATTGCTCTACTGGCTGAGGGAGCTGGCAGCTCAGACAACCCCTCTGTATTGTGAAGATAGAGCTATCATGCTACTGCAGGGGTGTAGATGGGGTGGCCGGAGGAGTATGAGAGAGATACTCTACAGGAAGTCCTGGGTGCGAGACTTATATACACAAACAACTGGAAGTGGGCATTTGGGATCTAATCTTACTTTGGAATTGTATTATAACTTTGTAAGAATTCCATTTTGTAACTATACTCTCTGAAGTCAGATCTTAGTGCTGAGACCCTATCTGTCACAGCTGAAGCAGAGTGTACCTGCTATCTAATGGCACACATTTTAGGAGTTACCTAAAAAAGTTCATAAAGTACTTTTGGATATATGTGAGTCATGTGCTTTTTGTTTGTGACTGGTGGGATTACCTCTGAGTCATCAGCTGTATTTTCTTAATCACAGCTCTCAGGTGATTAATTTTCCAATATTAACAATCTGTATTTTTTGGTGTGTGCTCTCCCTGGTCTGTTTTTAGCATATACTGTATATATATAATGATTGTTTCTGTATTATGAAAAAAAACATTAGATAATTCAAAAACAAAATCTCCGGATAAAGGAGTTTTATCCTAAAGCAACTGACTCTGACATCTTTACTTTTATTGATCTGGCTTTTCATATTTCGGAGAATATGATTGGCAGAATCAAAATCAAAACAGGCTTTAGAATTCAAAACAAGTTTTTTTGGAATAAGTCAGAGGTGTCTGTTCTCAAGTGTTCCCATTGTGTTTTGAAAATAGAAATAGAAAAAGTTATTGAATACATTTTATGGGAAAAATGTCTGATTTGGTCTTTTAATTCTGTCAGCTGATATTGACAGAGTATAGAAAAAAAGAACTTTTCTAGAATGTTGGGAGAAGTTGCAGAAGACTGTGCAGATAGGCCGTTTAGAACAGGTCCTTAATACATGTTTTATATGTTTTTATTAGAATATTTTTATTATTAAGGTTGTTGGCAATTAAACATGTTATTTGATCACAGTATAAAGGATAGAGTGATGAGCAGGACAAGATGCACTCATCACAGAATACTAAGGGTTAATGAGGATAATATACTGCAAGAAGTTTATGTCAAATGCACATCCAAGCCTGCTTTACAGATAAAAAAAAGGCAAAATTATCAAAATATTTTAAAATCTTTTCTTTACAAAAAAAATATAATAAATGAGAGAAGACCATTCAGTCCATCTAGTGTGTTTTAAAAGTAAGTTTAACAGGTCTCAGTTTTAAAAGCACTTTGTAGTTGTAGTCCACTTGCGGCCTCTCCTTCATGTTACACTGCTCATTCTAAACAGTGATTCTTTAATCACTTTATTTAAATTGAATGCAAGTACAAACCTTATATAAATATGTTTTATAAAAACACATTGCCAAAATGCAACATACAGTATGGTATAATGTTTCCTCACAGATAGGCACACATATAGGAAGAGAAAAGTAAAAAAAAAAAGTCAAACAAAATTTAAAAAGTTAAAACAATGCAAACAAATGTTATGTGATCCAAATGGGAAATGATCTAAGAAAGGTATATATGAAATATTAATGTGCCACCTCATATCTTTGTGTTTCAAAGAGCTGTAAGGAAACATTTTAATTGCTTTGGGAGAACTTTGTTGCCTGTTCATTGCTGACACAACAAGAACAGCCCAAGAGTGATGAAAGCCATATAAAGCAATGTAAAAAATGCAAAAAGAACACAAAAATCATAAATCATTAAAATACAAACTGCTGATTACATAGCTGTTTTGTTACCAAAGCTGTGAAGATCAACAGAAAAGCCCTGACAGTCATTCTAATTAAACCACATGCGTGCAAGGATCAGCTCCATTTGAGATGAATGATGCATAGCTTCATTAGTATCACAAACGTTCATTAAAGCAACATTTGACAAGTCAAATCCAGTAAAAGGATAAATGCTTTTCCTCTCAGAGCAATACTATTGTGCCCGGTGTGGAAGTATGTTTGCCAATTTGGTAGGCATATGTACTGTACAGTATGTGCATAAAGGAAGAAAGAAGAGTCTGATCTGTATCTAAGCTTCAAAGAGGGTGCTTCAAAAAATATTTATACATTTTTTATAGAGCTTCATTTAAATTAATTTCATTAATTTTATTTCTAAAGTGCTTGTTCACAGAGATTTCATAAATGTCTACAAAGATAGTGCCAGTAGTATCCTGTCAGACACATGTAATTATAATTGTTAAATTTGTATTTCCAAAGATGAGTTCCTCTTATGTAGACGCATGCACTGAAGATAACTGGCATATCATTATCATATGAGAAGAAACTCCTTATCAGAAGGTGCACCTTAAGACAACAGAGATCTACAATAAGTGTAAGATGTCATATACTGTATACAGTAGGTACGATTATGCAGAAAGGATATAATAGCTCTTTATTTCCTCAATGTCAGCTATTTCCTTGGATTCATTCAACCTAATAACTCCAGAACAAGTACAACATGTACAACATGTACAGCAACTCAAGATTACCACACTGCTAGAGGAGGCACTGTATGGCATGTTCCCAGCAGTCATCCCTAACAAGACGACAGTAGTCACCCAATATGCCACCAGGTGGCAAAAGCCCAGGTAAAACTCACCTGAGCTGCCCACCAACAGAACTCAGATGCTCACCTAAGATGCATCACCAAGATGCTCACCAAAACCTCTAAACATGGAGACACTGCACCATGCTGGTCTGCAAGACAAAGTGCTCTACTTCATTCAGAAACAACCAGATAAGCCTATTGGAGGACTTCCACACTGCTACCCAGGTCACAAACATTGCAGTGTTCAAAAGGGATTAGAGAAGCCACCCAACATGGGAGAGGAAAAGCCCATTGAACAGGCACATGCTGGCAAGGCTACAGACACTAAGAACCTACAGTAACAGCCATACGACTACCAAAACTTTCTAACTCCAACACCAGTTCCAATATGCTCTGGGTTACCACACCCTAGTGCACTGCTAGACATTAATAAAATCTTACAACTGGCCAGGCTGCTCAGGGAACATGTGAGGCCCTGCTTCAGAACTAGAGATGTTGAGGCTCCTGTCTGAAAGCTGCCTATATTAGAGCCATGACTAATTGGCTTTACACCGACGTTTGGTATTGCCAGCCTGAGAATATGTGTGTCCCCTTCCAGCCTCAGAGCCTGTGGTGATCCAGCATTCCACATTCGCTGTAGCAGAACCAGTGCTCATACTGTAGCTTATAACTTGTACAAGGCTCGTGGACATGCATCTGATCTCTCCCCCGCGATGGACCCTGTAGTGCACCACACCTCCACTTATATGTAGCAAAACAGAATAAAACACACATCTACTCTCCCTTGGTCTCTTTTAGTGTAAATGCTTGGATCTTATCCCAGACTTAAGAAAAGCTTCAGCTATCTGCCTGGAATAGGATCCTGTGATGCCCCAACAATTTGTCTGCAGTAGTGGAGCAGTATGAAACTGACTTTATCAGCAGAACTAGAGTGTGAGGCTGCTTGTGCTCACTTCACAAGCACTCCTATGATCACAGGTGTGGAATTGTCTCATTCTGGCAAAGGCTCAGAGCAGGGGCCCAATTTCCTGCCCCGTCTCCACAGTCCTCCATTTTTTCTCCAAGATGGAGAAGCTCTGGCTATGTTAAAAGACAATCAATGGCAATATGATGGTCTCGTCACCAGGCCTCTCAGCTGCTGTGGAGAATCTCATACTGTAGCTGAACGTGTCACCTATGGGTGGGAGGCTTAAGGTTTGGATCTAATCAATTTTTTGGAGGGGGTTACAGCTATGAAAATTAACATTTTAGTCTTGCAGTCTATAAACTCATCCAAATGAATGATTCCGGCATAACAGGCTGGGTTAATACACTTTTTTTCTAATAATTAGTAGGGAGAACAGGTAGGAGAATATTATAGTCTGTTAAGTAAGCTATATTTTTTTGTTTCGTTTCCTATTCAACTACACCTACACACAAATGAGAACTGGTGTGGTGGTACTTCAGCGGTTTATGTTTCGGATGTTTTTTTTAGTACAATGTAGTCTTTCTTAGATTGCCTTCTTATATCTAAAGTCATTATCTCAAATGCAGTAAATTCTAAAATGCATAGTTAAAATCATGCAGCATTAAAACTTCAAGTAAACTCGGATCTAATTGCACTTAGTCACTACACATAGTGGTTTGACTCATTATTGTTAAATGACCCAAATTTTATAGGGTTTTGTGAGAAAGATACTGAGATAGTTATAAAGCTAAATTAGAAAAGATGACATCTACACAAGTCTTAATACTTTAAAAGCTTATTTAATACGGAGATAAATCTGATATTGCGCTGGACAATTAAAAGTCATGTCATGTCATTTGCCACCATACGGTGTCGCGGGAAGCTGGAGCCTACCTGGCAAGCAACAAGCACATGGTAGGGTACACCCTGGACAGGGTGCCAGACCATCGCAGGGCAAGTGCAAGACAATCATACATGGGGTCAATATGGAGGCCACGGTAAAGGCCAAGAGGGGAAATTTGGAAATAACTCCCTACTCTTATCGACAAAATGCCTGGGGATCTTTAATGACTACTAAGAGTCAGGATCTCAGTTTAACATCTCATCCAAAAGATGGCACCCACTACAGCATAGTGTCCCCACCACTATAGTGGGGCATTAGGACCCACACAGACCACAGGGTGCCCCCCCCACTGGCCCCACTAAGACCACTTCCACCAGCAACCATAGCTTCCCAGGAGGTTTCCCATCCAGGTACTGACCAGGCTCAACCCCGCTTAACTTCAGTGGGCTCCCAGCTGAGAGCTGCAGGGTGATACAGCTGCTGGCTACAAGTAAATAATTAAAAAGAAATATAATATGAAATTAAAAAGTCAGGCACCCTTTTAATTTCCATTTTTTGTTATATCTGTGGTCACAAAACAAATGATAAGTCATTTCATATCTTAACCCAAAAAATTGTTACATGTTACAGACCAAGTTCTGGGCATTTTGTACAGTATTTGGGGCATACTACATTATTTTAAAATAATGGTATTCTCTCTATCATAAGTTGCTTGAGCTGGGAAATTAAAGATTCAGATTTTTCCAGTCTAACCTTGAGAGAACCGATTTTAAAACAAGAATGAATCAAGAGTTGCTGAATAAGTATACAATCAGAATGTACTTTACATGGTTTACAAATTTCCCCTTGAAAGAAGAAATGCAGTACTTTTCTGAGAAAAAAATGTTCCCTATCAGAACTGGCATTGAAGAACAAAAAAAATGCTGAATGAATTAGCAGCCATACCTGAATAAGAGAAGACTCAGATTTGATGTGATTTTTTCCCTGCAATACAGCATAAAACCTTTATACATACCGTATCTTTTATCCCTTAATTGTAATAGTTCATACAAGCATTTCTTGTCAAGGATGTTATGAGTAAAATGATTTGTAAAATCCTAAGCACGGTAAACATTTAACACAGAGCTTATATTCTCCCCATTGTATTACTTAATGTGGATTTCAAGATTATCTAAGATGAATGCAAATAGAAAATGTTTTTCCTATCGTGAGATCAAGTAGGATATTCTGTAGATATTGCAATGAGATTTAAATATTTACAGAAAGCAGTTCTTTCATATACTCATTGTTATACTCTTCCTGGAAGCTAAAAAAGCAATTTTATCAACAGAATACATACTGTATAATATACTAAATTCCACCTTATTTTTCATTAAAGAGAGACACCATAAATGACCGCTCTCTCCTCTTTTATTATTTTCTCTTGTACAATAACATTTAGTAGAAGCTATCAGATCAAATTAAGAGACTTTAGGCATTAAAATAGGAAGTCAACTAAGTTAGTTAGCTACAGTATATATCCAGATAGTAAGCTTCTTTTTCTGAACAATCCTCAGCAGTCCATTACATCATTACTAACGTTACCTGGTGGTTATGTAAGTATACTTTATATGGATTAAAAGAAATTGGAACAGTCTCTACTAAATTCCCTTTATAAAACGTATTAGATAATTACATTTCACTTGGGCAAGTGAAGGTTTTAATTATCTTGCCTTTTTTCTACTCAACAGACTTGGGTTTTATGGTTCAGAAAAATATGGCCTGTGCCGAATCAAATTTTAAAATTCATAAATTCATTCATTCAATTGGAATTCATAAATTCTATATGATTTTATTTGATGGTCTCCCCTATATCCTACATTTAGATCAAAAATAGAAGTGATTAAAATGACAGAAGCTTCTTAAATAAATTATGTAATAAGCCTATTATTTAATTTCCTCTCTCTTGAAGGATCATCTTACAGTTCTGGCTTCCTGAGACTCACTTAGGTATATTGGATTTTGCCAATATGCCTAAAAAATGAATTTTGGAAAGATTGAATAGAAGAATATGTAAAATATCAGACCTGTATGTAGATGGTAAATTGATCATGTCAGGGTAATTCTAGGAAGCAGGGTGATCCATTCTATATCCAGGGTGATAATTACTTCATAATCTTTCATGAGTTACAACCAATATGATTTTTTCTGGTGTTATATCCAGTTTATTTTGATTTGGAAGATTGTAATTATAATCATCATCATAATAAAAAGCATCTAGAATTCTGAATTTGTGGATACCCGAATGAAATGTAACTAGGATTACATAAACTTCTTAAAACTTAATTCACAGTTAAATATAAACTTAAATACTGATATGTGAAAAAATATTTAGAAGCACAGCCATGCAAAGGCATGCAGAGAAGCTAGACCACCAGCTACATAAATTAATATGTTCAACACAACTTACTAGATACTAATAAAACTTTAAAGCGGACCAGAACTCAGAAACAGCATGGTACAGTTAATAGACCATCTTGTTTTAGAAATGTACTGAAAAAAATATTTCAACAAATAAAATTATTTACCTTTATATTGGTTTTAATTATTTCTGCCTGTAACACAGTAACTACAACATCTTTTTTGCCATTTCTGAAGCCAGAAGAGCATATGTTAAATGGAAAATAATTTGTAAAATGTAAGCATTTTTCACGTAATGTTAAAGATCCACATTCGTTGAAACATGACTGCTGGTTTTCATTCCATCTCAGACCTTACTGACTTAATTAAACAAATTAAGTGAATATAATGTAATGAATGTAAACCAAGTCATTTGTTTTCAAACTCTCGATCAGGTGCTAATTGAAAAGTGTCTTTAAAACATGGCACTCATGACATGGCACCTTCAGACAGAACAGGATTTTAAAGTTGCTACGAGACTGAAATAACCTGTGCTAAACTCATCATCACAAATTCTGACAATATAAGTTAATCAAAATAAAAACAAGCAAAATCACAGTCACTCTAAATACTTGCTTTTAGTTTTTAACATTACATGTTTTTCATTCTCTTATTACATAATAATATCTTCTTTTATGCTCACGAGTGATGTTACCATTCAGAAGGAGAACTGCTGCTCAGTCAGTTCTAGAGCATGAGTGCAAGTTGGGGCTATAAAGCAACATTTAAAAAATGTCTATTTTTTGCCTGAGAGGGGAGCTCTGTCAATGTGTGTTGACTGCAAAGGAAAACTGTAAGTAAAGGTTAATCCCACAGTGAAAAGCAAAAGAAGAAATACAACCTTCTTCTATCACCTGAAAAAAAAGGTTATTATAAATAATAGTGCCTGAAAGCAAATAATTGAAAGATGCAGTTTAGTTTATGAATTCGTTTATAATAATATCACAATTACACATACAGTAGTTAACAATGAACTATCAGCACAAATCTAGCACTCTGTTAACTCATTGATCAAAGTCAGTCATACAGAGTACTTTAAAAAATATTTTCTTGCATGAGGTGTCCATTCATTTGTGTTGCTTGCAAGTTTTTTTCAAAATACATTTGCACATACATGATGTGGATGGCACAATAGGGTACATGTAATGAAAAGCAACTGGCATCTTGCCCACTTCAGAGATGTTTGTGTGTACACCTGAATAACAGGTGGAACCATATAGTTTTTTTACTTTCACCTCACGTTATGTCTTGTGTGTGTCTATCTCCACTTTGAGTCATTCTGAAAAGAAACAGAATTTTCTATTAATAAATTCAGGAAAGAAAAGTGTGCAGTCACACTAAAACAGCCCCAGGCAGAGATGATTCAGGTACTGTTTTCAGCAACATCATTCTAAACTGCTCTTGAGATTTTTTTAGTGTCATTATTTTTTTTCAAACTTTTCTATTTTTTATCTGCGTGTTTTGTTATCACCAACTATTTATCATCTGAAAATCGCCACAAGCCCTGTACCACACGGGGATTACTATCATGAGTTTGGTTTTCAAAAAACAACTCACAGGCAAGATGAGGGGGGCTGGTTACAATAACAGACTTGCATTTAAAAGCCTCAGACTCTGTCCTCACTTCTACAATCCCAGAATCCTGTGGGGAAAAGCAAAATGTTTATACAGACCACAGGAAGCCACTATCTCCTTCTTTCACAATACAGAACATGTTCTTACCAGTACCTAAAAGCCAGAGACTCTACGTTTGTTATGGCAATGGAAATGTTATCTCTTCAGAATTCCCATTTGACTATAAAGATGCTCAGTGCTCCTTTCTCCACTTTGAAGCAACACTCATTTGTTATTCTTTGCTTGGACATATGTAATGTGTTTGCTTCTTGCAAATATGTTACCATAGTGTAAAAGCAATTTAAACATATTTTGATTTAAATCCTGTGGTTTTTTTTATTTAGTTTATGCAGCGCAGTTGTCAACCTTTATTTTTTAATCATGCTTTCAGCACTATTGTTTTACTTAGAAACAGCAGGAATCTGCAGACTGACATACACTTGAAGACGTGACAGCATCATATACAGTATCTGCTACCTACTGTGACATTTTACAAATGGGGAGCGTCAATACTAATATATGTGTATTGTTTTATATTCTTCTCACAGTGCACTTGTCTTCCTCAGTGCTTATTCTCCTACCTGGTGTATTGCAGTCACTGCAGAGGACAGGCGTATGTTCTGCCTTCCTACTCGGTCAGCTAATATCTCAGACAGCTGTTGGGTTCCCCCCTGTGGACGAAAAGCAGGACTGCAAATAGCATATACAGTAGCTAGAGCATTTTCATTCCTACCGGAGGTTCTGACGATCCATTAATGCTCATTCCACCTGAACCCTTGAAGACTAAAATTAGTAATTTACTGGACTGAATTAATAGTAGCTAAAAGACTAGTTAAAGTAAGACTAGTAACTATTAAAGGTTTCGAGTTAGATACAGGAAGACATGAATGGCTTTCACTCTCCAGGATCATGATTTAGTATCTTTGACACTACAAGTATGGCAAAACCAACTGAAATCTCCATAAGCAAAGTGAAAGCAAGTAAAATATGAGTCAATTGCAAGGAATAATTTGGTAAAAGTGTACAATGCCCATGCAAATGTATCATGCGAAATTTCTGAAAGGAAAGAGCCAACCATTGACAGAACCTTCACTTTGTACTCCTGCGCTGACCCAGCTGTGGCCTCCAGCAGAGCGAGGAATCCCCCAGCTGCTGCCCCATACATGAGGAAGTAGAGGAAGGAGAGCTGAGAGGTCTCCATGCCGAACACCGACCTGCATGACAGCTCCATTGCAGCCCTCACCTCTGAGGGCAGACAAAGGTGCAGACTAACTCAGAGCTGCCATCTACCCAATTAATCACAAATTCCAGACTTGATGACAGCATCTTGCTTCTAAAGGCAGCTAACCAAAAGCTGTCACCACAGTATTTGTCTTGAATTATGAGACTGGTGGATGCATTGAAATTTTTATCAATCCACACTATAGAGATCAAGATTGAATTAAAAAAATAAGGCATGAAAAAATACTTATTTATAATTAAAAAGAGCTTCTTAGTTCAAGACTGACTCTGCAACTTCTTCAGTTTTGTGCCAGTCTGAGCAAGTTAATGAACCATCCTCAGATGTGATGTGAAATTTAGGGCGTAGTGTAAATGCTTAACTGTATTACTGTTTTTTTTTTTTACAACTTAATGTATATCTTTTAATTTTACGATTTTATTTTCACTTGGTTTGTACAGCAGTTTGAGCTGCTATTTGTATGAAAGGTGCTCTATAAATAAAGTTTATTATTATTATTAAATAACTGCATCAGTAGTAATCATGACCCTTTCCAGACGTAAGTGGTTTATTGATAACAGATGGGTATATACAGTACAAATTGCTAACAATTTAAAAGTAGAAAACATCATACCCTTTTACTGAGAAAAATATTTTTCTGCATGCATTTAATGTGCTGGCATACTGCATTCTTGTCTGTTCAAAATACTGTAGCTATCATTCCACCCTGCAGCTTATTACAATTTCATTAATTTATAATGTCTCTCTTTAATTTTATAAATATTCTAAATTGGCATTAGCTAGAAAAAAATACTCAGGCTAAATTTCTCTCACCCTGAGTCCAGGTGTTTTTCTTGATGAAGGAATGCAGTGTCATGCTATCGTACTCCAGAGCATTGGGAGAAGAGCCTGGGATCTCCACAGAGACTGTCTTTCTCAGCTTATCAATCTAAAAAGAAATAGACAGTACTTAAAGGGGAAAGGAGTAAAGGGTGTTATTTTTATAATGGTATAATTCTGCAGCTAAAATAAGAATGTATTCTTTTAGTATTCTTTTAGTCTTTTAATGTATTTAATTTTATTCTTTTCTCAGCAGTGCAAAGTGTCTTTTACTTTGTCTGTCCTGAATATCATCAACCTTAGCCTACAGTCACTGTACAGATTCGGCAGTATTTCTTCTGAGCTTGCACTTTAACAGATGTATTCAAACAAAATAAAATAAATCACTTTATAGCTTGCGTTTATTAATTGTATCTAAGAACAAGTTCAGGATGTTGGTACAGCACACTGTGGTATGTCTATGACTAGGTTTTAGTCAGGATAAAAGTTCAAGTTAATTAAGGGTAGTACGGTATATCAGCATGTCAGGACTGTAGTTGGAGGAAGTGTTAGGCTGATCAAGACTGTGCTTGAGTTTAGGGTTAAGGTTTGGTTAAGGTTCTGATTATTGTACTTTAATATATTTTCAATGGCATGATTATGGTTATACATTTCTACAATTCTGATGGTTATCAGCACTCTGATAATAGATGAAAGCATTGCAGTTATGACTGTGGCTGGTGTAACAGCAATAATGTGTTCTCAAATAAACCACTGCACACAACAGGGGCACAGTAAAGGACTTGTGCTGACAGCCCCAACAGCTCCATTATAAATAACTCTTCCATTTCAACGTACTGAGTTTCCCTACCTTCCATAACAAGAGCTGCATGTCAATGAGGCCCATCAAAGAAAGTGGTGGGATACTGGAGGTATAGGTTCGAATCTCAGCCTCTGGTCCACCCAGCCGGTATACCTTTTTCCCCTCTGTGTACTGTGGGTAAATCTCCAAACCCAGTTCTTGGATAAGATCTAGGATGTGTGTCTGTGTTCTATAGTCAAAGATGGAGGAAAAGAAAGATCTTACAATAATTTATAATAATTACACTAATTAGTTGTAACACACATAAATATGAAAGGACCTGATCAAACCCAAAATTACATGTCTGCTATCTTTTTGGACAAACGTGCTGAATATTACCTTATATTGTTTTATCCCTTTTTTTTACATGAATAGCATTTCACAGTGGCTGACATGTTGCACTACACTTTTAACAGACTCAGGCATCACTAGATTATGATCGACCTCATTTTTCTATTTTTTATTTTTTGATTTATAGCAAAGTGAAGAACAAAAATGTATCACTTTATTTGGCCTTGAGTTTAGAATATTATTTTTTCAATGTGCATAAACTGGTGATCTAATTAATTTTTTACTTCAATTTTCAAAAATAATTGTCTAATTAAATTAAAAAATAATAGATCTCGGTATAATGTGTGAATTTTTTGCATCCTCAATGCTCTTCAATTTCTAAAACAGGTTCTCTCAATAGTCTTGAGAAAAGACAGGTTTGATGTTTAGTAGAAATTGACAGAACTCTGAATTTAATTTGAGGGATTACGAGTGTGTCAAGATGGCATTGAATTTTCTTTTTTCTTTTTATTTATTTTATTTCCACATAAAAGTGAGAGAGCTAGTCAAACTAGTGATGTTTAACTAGATCTTGACAATTCTACAGAGGAATCCAAACTTCCACTGAGCAGCAGGGTGGTCTCTTACAGGTACTGTGGGCTGTTCCGATACAGCGCTACTAAAGTTGAAGAGCTGTTTTTTGATCAGTGCTTATAAAAAGTTGTTTCTGGGTAAACCAAACCAAAAAAGACAATAGTCTTTAGAATAACTTTAGTTTATATTGTAAATCACTAATTACAAAATAATTTACTATGACTACAGACACTCAGTGAATGGCAAAATGGTGCAGTTGTCAGCACTGCATTGGTTAGCATTGGCCCTAGTGTGAATGTGTGCATGTCTGTGTGTGCTCTGTGATGGACTGGTGTCCCACCCAGGGTGTACCCTGCCTTGTGCCTGTTTCTTGCTGAGCTAGACTCTGGCACCTCTGAGGCCCTGTATTGGATGAAACAGTTAGAACATTTATGAATGCAGACTCTTAAGTACTTATACATTATGCACTTCAAAAATAAGCTCATTATAAATATGTATAAAAGTACCTATATTTAACAGATGACTGCTTACACAATTTCTGATGCCACTAGTATGTATCTAGGTGGATTAAGATACAATATATTCACCCCCACACACATCCCTAAGAAGATCAGGTTAGGACAAATCTTTAAATAAGGCAGAATATGTTGCCAAGGCCAGAAAATGGTGCAAGGAACTTATTGTGGCCTTATGTCCCACGTGGGACAAAGAGTGGGACACTCCACTCAAAGCGTTTTACAGGTAATGGGGACTCCCCTCCACCACCACCAATGTGCAGCATCCACCTGGCTGATGATGCGACGGCAGCCATAATTCGCCAGAACACTCACCACACATCAGCTATCAGTGGGGAGGAGATGAAGCCAATTCATAGATGGGGATTATTAGGAGGCCATGAGTGGTAAGGGCCAATGGGAAATTTGGCCAGGACGCCGGGGTTACACCCCTACTCTTTTCGAGAAACGCCCTGGGAATTTTAATGACCAGAGAGTCAGGACCTCGGTTTTACGTCTCATACGAAGGACGGCGCCCGTTTACAGTATAGTGTCCCCATCACCGTACTGGGGCATTAGTACCCACTTGGACCGCAGGGTGAGCGCCTCCTGCTGGCCCCACTAACACCTCTTCCAGCAGCAACCTGTGACCAGGCTCACACCCGCTTAGCTTCAGTGGGTTACCAGTTGTGAGTTGCAGAGTGATTTGCTGGCCCCTGAGGAGGAGGAGGAGGAGGAGGAGGAGGAGGAGGAGGAGTTATTCACCTGCAGTGCACCTGATTGTACTTAAATGTACGTTAGGGGTATCAGTGCAGTGTTAACTCACCTACCAACCCATTGCCCTCCCAGGTCCCAGGAGTCCTCTCCCTTTGCTGCTGGCAGGCTTAGGGTCACTGTGCGCCCACCTATCCGAGCTGAGACAAAGACAGGAACAAAGTGAAGGGCACAGTGCCATGAAGGTGATTATCAAAGGCTCCAAAGTAAAATATGAGCTCCCGTATAACATTAGTACCTCAATACAAACTCACTATTTGTGGTTTACTCAAACCATTTTAACTATGAATCCTACTGTTTTTCTTGATATGTTTCTTCACAAAAAAAGCTTACTGCATTCCCACTTATTTCCTTTTTTTATTTTAAGTCTGTTATTATTATTATTATTATTATTATTATTATTATTGAGATTATTTTTTAATAATTTCTTCTATGAAATAGCCTGTGTGTAAAAGATGTAAATAAAAGGTGGAATATATTGATTGTGACGTTCATCACCACAAAACTATAATACCTCCCTACTCTCATTCACAGGTGGCCTTGAAATTGCAAACAAACGTCTCTCATCAAATTTTATAGTTATATATTTTATAAGCTATAAAGTTTGGGAACATCAAGGATTCACTATATATATAGTATAGGAACTGGCTTTCTTCTTTCAGTTTAAATTGAAAAATAGAATTGTACATACACAACAACAAAAACTTAACTTGGTATTGTTTTGCACGTTGTGACACTGAAATACACTAGAGTTTCTGTGTAATCAACGAGGTTCTTTAATGTTGTTTGTAGTTATTGTACAGTACCATGCAATATTTGCAACCTAAGGACAAAATTGTCTTATGAGGAATATCCAAAGCACTGATTGACGGTTTAACATTATACAAATTGTTCTCTCATTCAGCTAAATAACACACAATAAAAGATCAAGGCTATTTCGGAGTGCTATAGTTAAGTGATTGCATAGACGTAATAAATAATAAACAAGGCTACTTCACCTTTTCCTTCTAGGATTAAGATTTTCAGATAAGCATTTCTTTTCAAAAGCTCTCTGGCTGTTGTAAGCCCAGACAGTCCGGCACCGACAATCACCACATCCAACAATTCCATTTGGTTGATGCAAACCTAAAACTGATTTTATTTACCGTTTTAACAGATTTCTGCAAGGCTCCAAGTATTTAGAACGATAGAATGATTATACCAACTGAAGTTTAGGTCTTTTTATTTAATTTATTCATTAAACCGTAACAGTGTACATTTTGTACATTGTGCACCTGGGAGGAGGGATTTGTATACAGCTCTTAGACCGGAAAACATGTACTCGGGAAAAGTTTCCGCACAGTATACTGCAAACGCGATAGTTGTATGCTCACGTCACCTGACAGCTTCTCTATGTTTGTCTTTGTTGAGCTGTGGACTTCAGCTGTTGCGGTAGGCTGCGTTCCAAGTAGCAGATAACATGCGAGCTGATAGTTTTTGAATGTTTTGTTTTCAATGCTGAACATTGAAAACATCGTGAACATCTAAAACTGTAGGAAGAGTAGGTGGGATACGGTCAATACATGCGTGACAAATACAATGTAATCCCTTATGCAACTGAAACTTTCGTCTATTTTATCCAGTGAAAAATCATACTAAAACACGATGTATAGAATGGCAATGACCTGAAGGGTTGTAGGATAATAAAAAAGCCAATAAAGAAGAACGTTTTTACTCAGTGAAGTCCTACTAATATCAATATTATCTGGTATTTTAAAAATACACATTACTGTACCTATGGGCACTTTTTTAATACTGTGTACAGTATATATAGCATTATTTCACACTATTATTGATGGTATTTTAGGTTTTGCTCTCCAAATACATCATCCCTATCTGCAATGTTCTGTACAGTACATCTTCACATCTTCAAATATGTATGTCAAAATAACATGAGCAGATACATTAGCTAAGTAATGCACTATATAGAGATAAATACCTATTTATATTAGACTGTAAGGGACCTACAAACTCCATGATATAAATAATCTAGTTCAACACAAAGAGATCATTGTATCTTTTTGTATAAATTATTGTATTAAATCTCGAATACTGTAACTGTTTAAGAATTGATCACTCTTGTGTGAGTATTTTCCCTTATTTCTTACCAACAGATTCCTTGGAATAATATTTTTGAAGGTATAAAGTTAATGTGACAAAATACTTTGAAGTATATTGCAAAAGATACGGATTTAATTTTTCCAGTTAACTGAAATACGAGTTCTTCACCCTTTTTAAATGAGCTTCTATTTATTTGTTCCACTGCCTATTTAGCCAACACAAGATGGCAGTGTATCTCTGATGTGAAAGGGGGTTGTATTTCAATGATATTTTAAAATCATATTTAAAAAGAAATGTGTAGAATGTGTGTGAAGATATTACATTTTGTAGAATTTTTTAAAACTTTTAATAAAGATAATTTGAGTGATAATGTTGATGGTTTGTCAGGTCAATTCATCATATCTGGAAATGTTAAAAATTAATTAGCTTTTTCAACCCATCAATGAAAATGTGAATCATTTAATGATGACACGACCAGAGCCTCCAATACTATCTAAAAATAGCTGATCATAATTTCTCAGTAATCCTTTTGTGTTGAATATTTTAACATTGAGATTACATTTCTGAGATTTGTTTAGAATCAGAGACTGCAGAAGCATAACTGAATCAGGTTTGTTTGCAGGAACAATATCCAATGGACTGAAACGTATTCAAATGAGGACTTAAGTAATGTGGCACGTACTGCTGTCTCTCTTTCTTGATCTATCTCACTGTGTGACTGTCTTTCAGCAGAACTAGTAAGACCACTTTTTCTGTGTGTCTGTGTCATCTCTAGCCTAAAGGCAGAAACCCCTGTAGTAGGCTGAGCAGTCCACATACATCCAGACATTCTCATTTGCATTAATGTGGAGGTTAATGAGACATGGCAACTTGCATGAACATCTCAAAAAAACAAACTGTGAAGCCTTCCAATAAATGTCTCTTCTAGAACAGGAATACAATAATACTTCCGAGAAGAAACAACAATAACAATAAAAATGTATTAATTAATTTTACTGGAGAACTGGAGAAGTCCTACAATACTTTTTTTACAGGATGATAATTCCAAAAGGAATTCTACAGGAACTCTACAGGAATCACAATTAAGTCCAGAATTTTGCTTAAATCTAAATCTTTTGCTTAAATCTTCTTCGTTTTAGTTTTACAAGAAGCCTTATTTTATGCAATGTATTTATTCTTACTGTACATTCTACTGAACAAATTGCTAGACATGAAAGCTAATAAGTGCAAGATTGCAGTTTGTAATAAGAACAAGAACTAAGTTAAGTGACAAGTTGCCAAAGATAATTACAGAAAGTCACACATTATTACTGAAATGTACTAAAGCTATTGTATGGACAGGTAAAGAAATCCACAGGGCACAGAGAAGAGAGAAACAAAATCTCCCAAAGATAGGCAAGTTGTGGTTGTTTCACCTACAGTAAAGGCAGTAAGTGTTCTGCTTCATTAAAACGGAATTTCTGAATTGTGGTTTAGTCCTGAAGTATTTCATCTGTTGTGCTGCAGCTTAGAGGTTAATTTATCTGGATAAAAAGTCTTTCATCTAGGGTCTGTGATTCTGGTCATCTTGTGTCTCACACTGGTATCCTTAGTCTACTATCAAGACACAACGTACTGTAATATGTCTAAATTGTGACACAATTCATGGTTTCAGTAAGGATAAATTAATCATATTGACAGACCTCAATAAAAGAGGTATAGTGTGTGCCCCTTTATTAACACGAGGAGATTATATCCCATGAGGGTGCACCTTATAAGATATTCTACCTGTTTAATTGTTTTAAAAAATGTTGAAATTGTTTTCCTCAAGTCTTAAATCACAGTTTCAGAAAGGTATTGACATAGCAGAAAGTTGTATGCAAAACACTGAAGTGAATTAGTTGAAGTGACACCGTATTAATAATTTTGCAACATGTTTAACAGAAGTAAACTGAATATCTTCGTAGCATAATGTCATGGATGAGTTTTCTTTTATCACAGTAGTCAAATGGGGTAATTCTGTCCACTATACATCTGTTTGTCAATGCGAGCCAAAGTGAAAAATCATAATATTACCACTTGTTTTGATTCTTCCTCTTTATAAGGTTGGTATGAATCACAAGGCGACAGACGTTTTTGTTAGAATTCATTACTAACTGTGTGCAGTGGTAAGCATTGCTGCTTCACAGCACTGGGGCCCTGGGTTCAATTCCTGGGATGCTATCTGCATGGAATTTGTATGTTATCCCTTTGTTTGTGTGGGATTCCTCCAGATTTCCCTCCACATAATGGTAGGTTAATTGGTTTCTGGGAAAATTGTATCTGTGTGTGCCCTGCGACAGACAGGCTTTCTGTCCACAGTTTATCCTACTTTCTACTTGTTTCTAGCTAGAATAGGCTCTGGCTCCCACTTGACCCTGTATTGGACAAAGCAGGTAGAAAATGGACGAATGGATGGGTTTTGTATTTTGCAGTGGAACACTCAATATTTTACAGTTAATTGAAGTGTTAATTACAGCACTTGCTTTGTTTTTTACAATGTTCACATTTGTCTCCTACTCCCTTGACCTCCCTCTTTCACCCTTTCACTCATTCTTTGTTTCACCTTTGTGTTACCTGACAGGCCACTCTACCTGTTTTTTCAGTTCTGATGACATCACAAGGTGCCCTTCCCAGTGTGTCACCACCCCCTTGTAAACTGTGTGTAGTTACTAGGAACATAACACAGATTTGGATGCCCGCATATCTTGTAAGTTAAAGAGAACAGAGTAAATACAAAAGGTACTTAAATTACACCTGTTAAATTCAGGTAGCAATTTTTTGTTTCAGAATTTTCAGTCTGCCATCTTGAAAATGAATAAAATATGTTATGCAATTTAAAATTTGCAAAGTTAAGGGTATTGAGTCACAACATCCCCAGTATCCAAGTTATACAGAGGCATATTTATCAAAATTCAGTCTAGATCAGTTTAAAAAAAAATAATATTCTGTAAAGAAGGAAGATGGACAATGGGCTATTTGTTTCTTCTAATAGATAGATAAGACTTTATTGATCCCATAGGGAAATTGATGGAATTCTATTATTCTATTCTGATGGAAATGTATTATTCTAATAATTTTTCCAATACCAGAAAAATAGTTTCTTTAAATTTTCAAAGCAGCCTCTCACAAAATTCAAATCAACTAAAGGAAACAAAATTATTTATTAAATGTATTTATATTGCCATTGACTTAAGAAATATTTTCTGAATTTTTAAATTAATTATGGAACCCTGGACCTTAATCTAATTTGATAATTTCTTTCATCATACAATTTCTATATTCACTTTGTTATTATTATCTACAGCATTTTATGTCTAGTCTACAGTTTCTCTAGTTATCTGGCTTGAGTGTGAAAGAAGCAACATTTTTTTCAAATTTCTAAGACCCTGTTACTGTAATAACGTGTTGTACCTGTTTCATTTAATTTTGAGACATAATAATAATTAATTATAATAATTGCTTACACTTATATAGTGCTTTCCTGGACACTCCACTCAAAGTGCTTTGCAGGTAATGGGGACTCCCCTCCATCACCATCAATGTGCAGCACCCACCTGGATAGTGTGCCAGAACGCTCACCTCACATCAGCTATTACTGGGGAGGAGAACATAGTAATGAAGCCAATTCATAGATGGGGATTATTAGGAGGCCATGACTGGTAGGGGCTAATGGGAAATTTGGCCAGGATGCCGGGGTTACACCCCTATTCTTTTTGAGAAATGCCCTGGGATTTCCACAGAGAGCCAGGACATCGGTTTTATGTCTTATCCGAAAGAAGGCACCTTTTTACAGTGTAGTGTCCCCATCACTATACTGGGGCATTAGGTCCCACACAGACTGCAGGGTCTGTGTGGGACCCCCTGCTGGCCCCACTAACACCTCTTCCAGCAGCAACCTTAGTGCAGGACACACTGCACATAGTCATACAAAAACAATTTAGACACTAATCAAACAAGCTATCATGTCTTTGGAAGGTGGGAGTGTTATGTTCTTCAGGTTCTGGGTTTTCAGCAGTTGTCACATTAGTTGTGACAGAGTGTTCAATCTATTTTTCCACTCGTTGCCATGATGAAGAGAATTCTATGAGAAATGGAGTCAGTCTAATAGACAATGTGTTTGCAGTGATTCAGAATTGCCCTTTTAAATAAACTTTTTACCGCTATTTTTATTTTTTTATTTCTTTACACCTGTCTTTTACAAACCCCTTTTTCTGCACACAACAGGGAGGAGATACATCCTAAGATAACCCATGCAAAAATGAGAACAATATGGAGACTCCACACAGAAGGTGCTCCATTTTGTAATCAAACTAAGGATCCAAGAAATACATGTAAGAAAAATGTATAACTCCCTCATTTAGCTTTGAAGAGATGTCAACAAAAAGAACAAGTGAGAAACAAGCAAAGGGTAGGGAATGTGGGTGTGCCCCTATATATGTCCACACCTTTTCCATTCTTCTGGGCTTAGAAAATGAGAGAGAGTGAATTACCTGTCTCTCCAGTCATTTCAGCTCACAAAGGTAGAGCAGACTGTCACTTGGATAGTTTTAATCTCAGAATACCTGCCACAGCCGGCTGTCAGGTGAGTACCAGTTGGAGTCTCACAACTTTTATTCATTTTAATTTCCATGTTCTATAGTTTTTTTGGTTTACTTTGGAACACAACCTGTCTGTTCTGTTTCCATTACGCATACCATAAGCCTCCAATTTCCATATTGTCTGTATTATTGATGGGTGCTTTTCATATTGTTGGCTCTGTGGACTTGTAGGTGTCTTACTGTACCTGCTGTGAGGCTCTCTACCAAAAGTCATGAAAACTAAACATTAACGATAATTTGGTTGTCATGAAGAAAGTGCAGTCAAAGGCTCATCAGTACTGTCAAACTTATCATATAGGCTGGATAATATATTGTATGATGAATCATTAGTTTGAATTCTTCACAGTTACTTCTTTTTAATTTAATTTTTAATTTGAACACCACAGTAACAATAATGCAAGTACTTGAAAAATAATGTATACATGGGAAACCTTTGATTTCAATACATATACTGCAATAGAAAACTGAAAATTATTACAGCTACTTTAAGAAAGTGCGGACCAACACATTTATAATTAGAGTTATGTTGTAATCAGTTTAATTTGCTGTGGTCATTAGTAAAAATCCTGTGCACAATAACAACGCATTTTGTTGAACAACTGTTAAATTGTAATCTTGCTTGTTCAAATGCTTGGTTTTTACATTAATAACCTTAAAAATACTATATACTTGTTTTTAATTGTCTGAGTGGAGACTAAATAATTTATTAAGTTAATTTAACAGATGTACCAAAAGCTATCATTTTCAAAACAAATACCTGGAATAACTGATAAAATACAGCAACACTGTATTAGTCATATAAGAATATGGCCATAATTTCTGGAAGCTAAAGGGTTATCATCTTATCTTTAGATTGACAGAACTTGTTCACTTATTTTGCTTAGAACAAGTAAACACTGGAACTGCACTTGCCATGCTTTGGTCCAATAACAAAGCTCTGCCTTATCTCCCTGGAGAAGTTCACACAGCTCCTAACCACAGGAAACAACAGCCAGATTCACCGAAACGGGTTTTGTTTCATTTTTGGGATTTTTATTTTCATTAAGATGGGAATTGGGAACCCTTGTTGAAGAGAGATGCTTTTGATTTTAGTTTTAGAACGAATAATACTTTCTGTAAATCTGTAAGAAAATAAAAACAAAAATTATCATATGCTACAACACTAGCCTTATTAACTTGAGAACTATGAAACCCTTCATGTCAAATTCACATTCGTAGTCCCTCATATGCATTTACCAAACATACAGAATTAGAAAAGTGGGTAATCTTGTTTTAGGCATACATTATAAGGTTCCATAGCATAGTCTAGCATTTAACCATGGATAGTGCACATACAGTATAAATATTTAATCAGCATTTATTTTCTGTTTGATTTGTAAATAACTGATATACTGTATGTTAACAATCTCTTTTATGACAGCCACAACTAAAATTTGTTAATTATTTTAATAAAACAATAATAGAGGCCTTATAATGTACTGTACACCTTAAATACAATATCACTGGTGTTTACGTCCACTGCTGTTTCATAAAGTTCACTTTGTGAATGAGTATCTCATTGGTAAAAATTGTTGCTGCACCAGTCAGAACTGAAGGTTTAGAATGTTGCAACTGACATTCTTCAAACCAACCTAATCATTTCAACATTTCTGGGTGGGGTGCAAATCCTCAATCACTACAGCAGTAGTTCAAGATTTGTTAAGCAACCCAGAAGTCAAAGAACATGAACACTTATGGTTGACACTGGTGTGGATTTTGATCTTAAAATCAGAGAAAAATCCAACCAAAAACTGAATACAAACAAAAGAGAAATGGTGAAGAAACTGACATTTCTGCGTAGAGGAATACTACCTATTCACATGGTTTCCATTTTTAACTTAAAGTATAATTTGATAAATGTATGCTTGTTTTTTGTGTATTTTTTTGTTTCAGGTGAAAAATGAGTCAGCTTTTTTATCTACTAATTGTAATCTGTTGAAATTTTTGTTATAATAAGCACATTATTTGTAAAGCTATTGAATATTTTTCCCATGTTAACATACAGTAGAGTTTCACTAGGCACTGCTTCCCAACTTCCCAAAGACATACTGTACAAGTTAGATTTTACAGGCCATTGTACATTGGCCATCACAGCTTTGTTTCCCTGGCCCCTCTTGGACAATCATGCATGACATGATATGCCATTTCCTGAGCACCCATGGCATACTAGAGACATCAGCAAAACATTCACAGAATATCATCCAGCTCATCCAAATATTACTGAATTAAAGCAATCAGCAGGTCAAACACGACCTTTAAGAAATAAACAGTTACATTTTCTTGCGCCCACATCTTTACTCACTAGCCTTCCAGTAATATATCCTTAACACAGGTTTATTTATTTTTTATTTTCTTGGTGCTAATTTGCATACATGTATTAAAGTATTAATTGTTGACAGTGTTGTTGTAAATTGCTTTACAGTATACTATGATAACTTCAATACTCTGTCCTGTATTTTTTGCTTCAGCCATACTATTGTTGCAGATTATATATGCCCATACCATTCTCTTGTTCTGAGATAGAAATCGAAAGGCAGCTAATTTAACAATCAGGTCATTTATTTGCCTCTGAAAAGTAAAAAGAAAGAATTAAAACAACATTTTGTCTGAAGCATTCTTTAAGTACTGTATGCGCTCAATGGGAAGGAAAACTAGCTTATGTGACCCCTAAGAACTGTATTAAGAAACTTGATTTTTTTTATAAATAATAGATGTATATTTAAAACCTGACAGTTTATTACAATATTATCTATTCTTCCTTACCATGTCAACATGGCAGGATGTCAACAGAGCAACATTGGAAGATCCTTACTCTGTGTTCCAGAACAATATTTGCAGTCCTTTGCTCCATCTACTTGAATACAGGTAAGCATGTGGTGCTAATGTGAACAAACGTCTGGGCTCCGGAAAACCATAAGGAGGAAAGATGTTTTTAATGTGTGCTCCTCAACAGCACACTACACAGAACTGCAAGGTTGCAAGACACCCAATGTGCAATCTGTAATTCAAGTGGATTACTGTTGGTTGTCTAGAGACTTACTTCTTCAAGGATATCAAGCTGTTTCTTAAAAGAATGTAATTTCTTAATGACTACTTTGTACACTTACCTGTAAATAGGCAATTTAATATAAAAACTCAATATTCAAAACTAAATTTGCCTCAATGCTGCCCCATACCAGAGGATTTTCTTGAATATAGAAATTGTGTAAAAGTGACAGAAAAAGTTTAGTGTGTTCCTTTCTTGTGAAAATGTACTTATAACCACCACTATTTAATTCCAAACTGATCAGGTAGCGTTAAATTGCATATATATGCTCAAATAAATTGCCTGGGTGTGTGTTTATTTTTGGATTCTGATTGTCTGTGTAAGACAATGAATGCCTTAGTGCAGTTTCATTCCAGAGGATAGAGAAACCAGCTATGTTTTGCTTACATCACAGTTACCTGCTAGTCACAGAAAGGAGTAAGAGGGATGGGACACTTAAAACAATTTCAGTCAGATCACTGCACCCTGCCCGTAGGAACTAGACTTGTACAGCTGCCATTCTTCTGAGAATAGCAAAACAGAAAGGCAGACAGCAAAAAATGTGAACAAGAAAATGAATGACAGTGCCAGAGAAGCAAAAAGAAAAAATGTGTCTAAGAGTCTAGAGTCACAGAATGTGGGAGAAAAGAGAGAGTGGCAACAGATATCAGTCTTAGCCTTTATGAAAGAACAGGGACAAAGGGATCATAATGGATCAGCTACACACAGTAGTCCAGAGCCTGGTATGGACTGACACAGGAAAGTCCTTTCATTTTGCTGTAAACTGGCAGAGGAGTCAAAAGAGTATTATTGTAAGCGGCTAACTTTCTAGGTAAACAGTATATACTGTATAGCCCTGGGGGTGAACTTTTTTTTGGGGTAGGCAGGTGCATTATAGCCACTCACTAGACCGTATCAGTAGCGCCAGAAGCAGTCCACTTCCTCACGATCAGGTGCTGTTGTAATGGAGGAGAATAAAGAACGGAGGCAGAAGACTCTTTTCCCCTTGGAGAGTACTCATATTGTCGGCTTTGTCATACACCGCTCAATGCCAGCTACACACACAAATCAAAGACCTTAATTCCTCAGCTTGCTTAAACGCATCTTTTCTTAGCAGCACGCCTAACTCTCTCTTATAGTTCCTGTGTCGTCACAACGACCTTTCACCCTCTCACATCTGAAACTTATAATTATTTTTAAAACTCAAAACTCTTAACATTTACTAAATTATTGTATGTCTTACATTATCAATCAGGGGTGGAGTGGTGGGGAACTGCTAAAGATCTCCAGGTGTGTGTTGTTACATGTCAGAAATTAAGCTTAAAAATAAATAGTAGTTGCCCAAACTAATCCAAATTACATGTGCAAATGACATGGTGCCTCCTCATGGTCTCCTCTAGTCCTCAATTTAGTGAGTTAGAGCTGTGGACTGCCGATATTCTTTTTCTATACAGTATGTACCAATGAACAACTACTTCTCCTAAAGATATTCATACCGTAGATAGTAAGAGACAAGGTCAAACCAAATTTCAATCAAGCATAAGCTCTGCCTGACAGATATAGCTGTAGATAAAATGACTGGACATATTATGGATTCTTTGTACAAAACACTATACCTACAGCTCCAACCAATTTAGTGCTGTTATCAAAGTTCACAGCTTTCAGCATTTTGCTTATACACCTGATTTAACATTAATTACAAATTCAGGAAGAAAATAACGATACAATTTTACGGTGTTTAACTGCATAATGGAATACAATAATGGAATAAGACATTCCAGAAAAAAATTGCCATTCAACAATACGCTATACAATTTATAAAAGACAGGCATTAGAAGAGAGAAAGAGTGACAGCGGAAGAGAGAAAGCCATAGACAGTGTGTGGCAAAGAGAAACAAAATCACAGGGAAGCAAAGAAAGAGAAAGTGAAGACAGGGGCCAAGTCTCATTGAATGAAAGGAAATGAACTGGAAAGTTGATCATTTCTATTTATAACACAACAGCCCATGACATTTCCATATAACAATTCAGCTCTTCATACTGTATGTGCATATGTAAATATTGTCTAGTGCAGAAAGAACTGTAAATCACTTAAGTTGTGAGCTGAATGTGTATTCTCCTGGGGAACTCATAGAAGAGTGGATTTCAATCTGCATTTTACTTGCCAAAAAAGTGAGACAGAAGGGAATCTTGTCATTTATTCCCTTGGTCTAGCTGTTGTTTCAATTTGTATGGTGCTTTGTTATGTAATGGTAATCCTATTCCAATACAAGGATGGTTGGTATTGCTGTAGAATACGAAAAAGGTATAAAAAAATGTCCATTCTAGATGTTAAATGATCATTTAATGCATGTAGTATTTTCTTCTAGGAACAGAATCAGTAAACAGGATTGGAATGGTATGGACACCCATCACGCTGTCACATTAAAATAATCATCCTTAACAGAGTTAAAACAACGATATTGCAGTAAGCACAAAATGAAACATACCAAAATATGTTTGTTTCTGCAAAAACGTACTGTACCTTTGTACAACTAAAAGGACCTGATATATATGGCATCACAGAAACCTGTTATTTTTACAACAGGTTTGGATGTACTATAAGGAACATGAATGAAAAAAATTGTTTGGAGAGACTTAATTTAAAGTGACTGTTCTTTGTAAGTGTACAGGGCCCTACCACACTTAATAAATTGGAAATCCTTCAAGGATATTGAGAACTTTTAATGAATGCCCATTCAATTCTTGTTATATTTTTGTTGAATAGATGTTAACAGTTTTTGATTACATGGAAAACAGTTTTATGCATACGTGGTGTGATTGTACTGGTCTTCCATTCCTGTAGGTTTCACTGCGGCCATGCAAATAACCTCCACTGGGGCTCAGACCATTCAGAAAGCACAGGGGGAGGCTGTGGTACTGGGATGCACATACACCCCAGGCCCCACAGACACTGGAGAGCTGGACATTGAGTGGTCCAACATCAGCCCAGACATGACTCAGAAAGACACGCTGGTGAGACATACTGTAGGGGAGGAACACTTTCTCTGGATGGGGACTCAGGAAGAGGGTATACATGGCAGCAAAAATCTATCATCCCTTTTAAAAAAAACTGAAAAATATATAATTCAAGGGCAGAAATTACAAACTATTGAAATTGTAAAAAAAAAAACAGAAAGGGATTTTTCTTTAATGCACTGTAACACTAGTAATGGATTACATTCTGATGGATACTTAAAAATAAGTGTGCCGAAATATATATTCCCATTCAGTGAGTAAGAAGGAAGTCATTTTAAATGTATTATTCAGATTTAACATTATACGTATATTTACTATTTTCTGGCCAAGTTCAGCTCTCTCTCTGGAAGGACAGGTGCTTTGATAGGGATGGAAAGAGTTTACAGATGTATAAAGTATAATACCAGCTGCTAATGAAAGGTTGTTTTGACCCTGCCAGATCTTGTCCTATGTTGGTGGTAAGCAATACAACTACAGCAGCCCCAGTTTAATGAAGAGACTTACGTTCACAGCTGGAAACCCAAGCAATGGGGATGCCTCATTTACTATCTCCAACCTGATGGTCTCGGACACAGGAACTTACCAGTGCAAAGTGAAGAAAGCACCAGGAATTGACTCACGTAAAGTCACGCTCGTTGTGATGGGTGAGATCCTTTTCTGACGAATAGGCGGGTAGAAATCAGCAGTAGCACCAAGATTTCAAATGCAAAAAAGTTTAATCCATTTCATATTTTTATGAACTGTCATATTCTGGACCTGAGGTTTACTGATATGCTTGAACAAGTAGCTTGTAAGATGCGAAGAAACATCTATAATGTATTGAAAACTATTGCTTGCACTTATCCTCTCTGACTTTCTCTGTCTCTCTAAGAATAAATAGTTCTGCTTCTTTGTACTGTATCATCTTGTCAGTTCTCTTTTCCTTGCTGTGTTCCATTCTTAAGTACAAGTGCAACAGAGATAGTATGAAAACTAAGGAAAAACTATTTTACTCCGTAGGTACTGTACAAGTATTCTGTCGGGCAGAAGGTTCTATATTAGCCATCAGATTTCCCTTTTCTTTCCGATTTACCTGTTATGCATTACTTTTCTATTCCAACGCCATGCTCTTCAAGAGTTACTTATCAATAATGAGTTGTTAATCTTACAGACAAGGCATTACTGACAAAGTGTTTTAAAGGAACGATAGCTAACATTTATTTGACCTTACAGTAAAGAGTCAGAATAGTTGAACTAACTATTCTAAGATAATTAAAAGCCTAATCTTGAGAAGCTAAGATTTTGAGAGTAATTCACATCTGTTCTCATGTCTCCATTTTAGGGCTTCCCTATCCAGGTCCTCATGAACTCAAACGTTCCACAGTTTTTGTTTCAAGCCCTGATCTTGATAATTTTATTTAATCTTTAATGCATAATTCTCTGACAAGATCTTTTTTGAATGGTTTTCTGCTGTGAAACTGAAGTAATTTGAAAACATGTTGTTTCTGGAACCAGAATTTTTTTAAAAAAATCCATCAGAATATTAAAGAATAAGTATAGTAAGTTCAATTAAGGAATTGAAAATTCAGATGGATAGACACTGGGATCCCCTGGACTCTTCCCTTTCTCTCTTTATCTACCAATATTTTCTTTTCTGTTGCTCTGTGCTTACTGTAACGTCCTCTTTTTTGCCCCATCAGTACGACCCTCTGTACCAAACTGTTGGGTTGAGGGAAGCCAGGAGGAGGGGTCTGCCGTCTCTTTGCAATGCAAGTCCTCTCAAGGGTCCACTCCTCTTACCTATAACTGGTTCAGAGAGGGTGGAGGGACCTTGCCCCCTGCTGCTACAGCAAGTAAGTATAAGAGAGTTGATGGTACAGGAGTACAATAATGATTCCAAGTGGCCCAAAACAATTATTGGATTCCAAGGCTTGTGAGAGAAAAGCAACACAACTCAAAGCTAACCAACACTGTCAACTATTACAGTACAAGACAAACCCACAAATGTTTAGGATTAAATTACTGTACATAATACAAATCTTATCAAGGTTAATTGGTCTGATAGTAAAACCTGTTGAGGTGCCATCAGTCCCCAGGGCTCACAAAGCCAAGAAAGATCTCTGAGCTGACAGGCTTGGCCCTTTAGTGTAGGGGATGTTTCTGTTTTGGGGTTGTGAGGTTCAGGACTGGAAGATGCTTGAGAAATATGGACAGAGATTTAAACACAGCACACAAACAGTAAAAAGTGTTTTACCAGTAAAAAAAAACCAACATTTTATTACTCGTATATACCTTGTTTAAAAAGGAAGAATATGTTTGTTAGATCTGATTTTGTTTTAGATCTGGGCCGCTACATCTCAGTTTTGAATTATATGTAAATCCTTAGCTAAATCTTTAAAAACTGTTATTATATAATTAATTATATAATTGCACACTAATCTGCATATACTGTTGTAGTTTGGTATTATGATAAATATTTGATTAGTTCTGTAGGTGTTTATTTTAATATTGCAGGTTTCTATAAACTGGTTTATAATTAGAAAATAATGCCATGTCATTCATTTGTCTCTTTTCAGATCCTCAGACTGGTGAGCTCCTGATCCGAAATCATTCACAAAGCTTTGTTGGCAATTACCGGTGTGAGGTGAAGAATTTTGTAGGCAAAGAACAGTGTGTGTACAGTCTCCAAGCTTACAAATGTGAGTATACGACATGTTTCTCTCAGTCTGTGACTGGCTGTGTGACTTTTAATGATCTCTTCTGGCCTTCAACCACCGTCTTCCATTTGTTTCTCAGAGATCACCTAAAATTCGCAAACACTGAAGAAAAGACTTAATTTCAACCAGTTAAATCCCATTTAACCGACATCAGGAAGAAAACCCTGTGGCTCTCAAGTATCATTAGTATTATGACATTTTTACCATAATATTTCCTACATTTTTACAAAAAAGGGAAAGAAAATTAATGTACAAAATCATAACAAAGTAATTAAATGGTGAAAGGAACTGAAATTTGAATCCTGAGCTATTCACATGATGATGCATAACTTTCATATCCACATTGTTTTCAGGATCTGAAAATAAGATTTCAGCTTAATGGAAATTTATTTAGTGACATAGAGTAACACAGATCTAGGCACACATGCAGAAGGTCTTTCTTAATAATAATACTAGACATTCCTAGAGTCTATATTGTCTTTCTTTAATTATAAAATCTAAATTAATAACAACTTATGCAAAATATTAGTATTTATGTGTAAACACAAGTATCCATTGTTTCCCAAGCTGTCAATAAAGCCGGTGTGATAGCTGGTGCTGTGATTGGTGCTCTGCTCCTACTGCTCCTCCTCCTGTTGCTCATCTGGCTCCTGATCTGCTGCTGCAACAAGCGCCGTTATGAGAAGGAGGTGGCCAATGAGATCAGGTTTGTGGGGCAGAATTCTCTTGGAAAAGCACTTAGTGAAAAACTGGGAGGGAGTGAAAGAGCTGTCATCTTACCCAAGAAACCTTTTTTTAAGAACCAAGGAAGACTGCTTGGCTCTTATGAAAGGGTTATAATAACATAACATAACATAACATAACAGGATATGGAAGGTTGCACATAAGGGAAGCCATTTTAACCCATCTAGCTCATATTGTTCCTGGACCTAACTGAAAAAAAGCTCAGTTATTTCTTGAAGGAAGACAGGGTTTTGATATCAGATAGAAAAAAACGTGTTCACTACTTTTGACTCCTATTGTGTAAAGAAGTGCTTTACTATTCTCAGTCTTAAATTCACTTTCTGTTATTTTATACGTTTATATGTTTATGTTTCTCTGTTGATCCTGAAGAAGTTTTCTGAGTTGCCATTGTCAGCATCATTGAGGATTTTGAATGCTTAAATCAAGCCCACTCTTATTCTTCAAGACAATAGATTTTCAGTTCTACTACACTGTTAGCTGTTAGCTTATTAACCAAAGTCCATCATCCCTCATAATTTTTTCCCCTCATTCTATGAAGAAAGGAATGGAATTTGACTTCAAAGTGGAGAGTAATATATTTTTAATTTAACATACGTAACAGTAATGAACTGCACGTTCTAGCTGAAAATTACTGATGTGAAAAAAATTAGCTACTAATGACCCCAGTATTTGTTTGAAAATCTACTTCATCAGGTTTCCTGTATTATAATCTATCCCTTTCTCTAGTCCTTTCTAACCCCCTCCACACCATCCATTTTCCGTATAGGGAGGACGCCGGAGCACCAGTGAGTCGTGCTGTCACTCCCACTTCCAGTTTCCGCTCTGTACTGGGTTACAGATCACATGCTGGTGTTGGCTACAACTTTGTGAGGAGCTCATATACTCGGCCGGAATCAAACACATACAGCAGTATCTACAAAGATAAAACAATGATGATACAGTCACCGTCAGCTAACAGCCGGCCCACAACTGCTGAAGGAGTTCCCTCTGTGAAGTTCTCGTACAGTAAATATGGATATCCTGTTTGAGGGGAACTGCTTCCAACTCATATTGAGAGAACGTTTTGTAAGTTGCATGCTGTAAGATAAATAAAGTTACTTTTCACTGATGGTAAACTGAAAGACTACAGGTATCTGAAGTGACGTGATGGTGCAATATTTCTTTTATAGAAGGTTATCTGATCTAAATTAATAACATTTTTCCAGATCCACCTATTATCACTGAGAAATACAGTAAATCTCAGCTAATTTGAAGTATGTAATAATGCTTTAAATTTAATGTTATTGTATTACACAGGTGAACTTTTGTAAATAGCTGTTTATATACAGACGGTTTTATGTAAGGACTTGGAAAATGGAAAAAATGTATTTTTAACTACTTCAAAACAACAAGCAGTGACATTAAGCTTACAATAGATCACAGCTGACCTCTAACAGTTTATCAGTTCATCACAATGGCGGAATGGATTGCTTGCATTGCCTCCCTCAACCCAGACATCACCTTGCTCACATACAGTACACTGCACATCTACATTCCTCACTGACATAAGAAATATAGAACAGAATGGAGAGGGAACAAATGCCAAGTGTGAAGCATACATGCAGTGGGGCTGCTGGAGCTGCATCCCCCTATCAGGTCAGGTGGAGATTGCTAAGAAAAGGAGTAAAAAGTTGCATGTCTGAGTGTTGCTGAAAACTTCAATACGGTATGTAACAATTACGAGCTATTTAGAAGACTACACATTCAGGTAATATCCTGTTACTATAGCAATAGCAATCTCAAGTTCCCTTAATTTACAATTAAATGCATTACATTGCAATACATATCACTCTCTCGTTCAGTTATTATTTGCCTAACAAATACTTTCAGATTTCAGGGTGACATGTATAGGTTACAGAATACAATATGTACTGCAATAACTATTTTTTTTCTTGTTATAAACTACTGTACATGCAAAGCACAAATTACTATTAGAAAAGCATTGTATTTAAATTGTAGAGATGGTGAGCATGAGAATAATGACCAGAATTATATTCCTAAATCTTCAACTGTAAAAGGTTAACAAAAAAAAAACATTGCTTTCTTTACAAGAAATGCATGCAAAACATGTCCTTGATGTAATACATGAACAACATTTTAAATCAAAAGCTTAGGTTTCTTCATTTTCAATAAAATATTGCTAGTGCATTGTGATAAAAAAAAAAACTTCCAGCTGTACATTTTTCACTTTGTGGATTACAAAATATTAATCAATGTTCTTCTTGCATACGCATGGATTGGAATAGACTAATCTCTGTTGCACTTCTAATAGCACTTTGGTTCCTCCAATAAAATCTTAAGAAGAAACATTGCAAATTAAAGAGCCAGCTAAACCCATGAAATATTGCTAGTTGTGTTTTATTTTATTAATTTTTGAAGCAGTGAACTGTGATCTTTGTGTTTTATATATTTGGTAAAATAAAATATCTTACAACTAGTTGAATTTTGTATAAATATATCTATTTTATATACTGTAATTCACTCCTAATAGTATTATATGTGCATGCATAAATAAATGAATACTTGCCTGTTTCATGTTGAATGTGTTACCTTTTTCAAAACACTCTCATCAACATTTTAATATTAAATGACAATTACTTTAAAAGTTATTGTCTAATTGGCACTATTTAATGCAGGAACATAGCTGAATGTGAAATTAAGAGAGAGTTGTTTTTTTAATTGCATATAATTAAAAGCAAGTCTGTACATTCTACTACAGTAAGAATAAATTTATGCCATCATGCCAGAAATTGTATACAGTATCTAAATGACAATTAATTAGGTTTCAGCTAGATTTAGTTATCATTTGAAGGTTGCTATCCTAAGACTCTTAAGAGTTGGAGTATCCATCATTTTTTATTCTCCAAATGAAAGACAAAGTAGCAGCACCTCACCTGGTTCTTTTGCACAGGAGAACTCTTTTGGTCACAATATAGGGAGACTCATAACTTCTTGGTTTAACAAAATACAAGAATCTGGGTTTACCATTCAATCTGTGCATTCCACTTTCTATCATAATGACAGATTACCTAGACTGATTATGCTGATTGACTGTGTAACATCGCCCAACACAGGAACTAGATAAGTCTGTCACTTTTCCTGCATGGGACACCAGTCCATCGGTGGGAAGCAACGCTAACCACTGCGCCGTCTGTATTTTCAAATTCTTTACCACAGCTTTCACAGCTTTCAAGCTAGAATTGTCAGCTTGCCCCCAGCACTGTTATTGTATGTAGGGTTTTTTTAAAGGGCCGTATGTTTCATTTTGAAACCTCAACCTTCTCTCCCACCTTTCCATGTCTAGACTGATTTAGCTCATCCCCTACTCAATCATTCAGGCAACATTAATCACATTGACACAACCATCAAATTTTGTGAGTGAGGAAAATAATGAAGAACTGATGAAAAAAATGATGTATGAGTGTTTCTCAAGAAGTACAATACAACATGGAATGTATTTCTGTACAACACAATGAAAAGAAATCAAACATTATTTTACTATTATAGAGGAATACTACAGATGCAGCCATTCAAAGCGCGCGGTACACACACGTACCGGAGGTAATTGGCTACGGCGTCACGCATTGTGATGCACGATGACGCGCGGTACCGCGGTACATGATTGGTTGACCGACAGGGGCACTCGTGGTCCGTTGGTCTGTCGTAGAAAGATTTACAGTAAACGTCTTTACTGTGCC